GCCTCTGTCTCCTTTTATTAATATATATATATATATATATATATATATATATATAAAGGAGCAACTCGTGGCTCCCTACATGTTAAATAAAACAGGGGTTACAAGAAAAGGGAGGGAGAGAGGATCCCCACTAAAAACCCAAAAAAGAAACATGAAAATTCTAGGGGTTCTTCCCTACGTGTTAAATAAAATAGGGGTTACAAGAAAGGGGAGGGAGAGAGGATCCCCACTAAAAACCCAAAAAAGAAACATGAAAATCCTAGGGGTTTCTCTCCCCACATTACAACTCCACGCAAAATATATAATTCCAAAAAACAAGTGTCACAACCAGTGTATACCAATCAAAAGATGTATACCCCATATAGACAAGTAAAAGAAAAGAAAGCAAAAAAGAAACTGCAAAGGGAGTTGTGAAGCTAAAAAAACTCCATCCAAATAGCTGGGAGCAAAAGAAATTGAAATGAAACCACAAACAGTACATCCATATAGTAAGATCCAAAAAACTCATGATAACTGCAGCGCCAAAACCAAGTAACAAAATCAGTGAGAGCCTCAAAATATGTAGCCAGTGAGAACCTGTGAGAAACCAGCAAACGAAAAAAGTCATAGAAGTAGAAGATCATGTTCTAATGTATAAGGAATCCAATTTATCCCCAAGCAGGAAATGACTTAACATATAAGGGGGGTGGTGGCCAACAGAGATCCTTGCATGGCCCATTTTAGACAAATAATCGGCTGGGGCATTACCCTCCCTATGTATGAAGAAAAAAAAACCTGCAGAGAATGAGTAGATAGCAGATGCTATATCCGGTTAAACATGTAAAGTAAATTCCATTGGGGAGCGGTGCTCCTAGTAAGCATATTATAAATACACATTGAATCAGTTTCAATGATCAGGTAGGTGAAATTGTAAATCACAGTGATCTGAATAGCAAACAGAATAGCGCACCCTTCAGCTTCAATGGGGCTATGAGAATAAACAGGAGAGGAAAAATAACAAATTACGTTTCCAAAAGAATTTTTGAAAACACCACCCGCACCAGCAGAATTAGGAGTCCAGCTCCCATCAATATTGACCTTGACCCAACCATGTGTAGGGGGTTGCTATCTAACAAGTAGAGGCCTTCCACCCATACCATTAGTCATATTAGAACTAGTTAATGAGCTTCCAAAACTGCGCACAGGTTTAAAAATTAAAAGAGAATGTAGGAGACAGTGAGGGAAGGATGGGTGCGGGAATTGGCATGTTTATGCCCATTTCTGACTGAGCATAAGAACCATAAAACCACTAAAGGGAATGAGAAAAGGTTCTTATTGAATTTATGTGAAGCTTTCCAAGCATCCAATATGCCTTCCAAAGTACAAGTATGCGGCCATTTAACTTAAAAGAAATTCCCAACCATCTGTCAAATAGTGTGGGAAAAGGAACATTCAAAGAAGAGATGTCTGATAGACTCTTCACCACAACTGCATAAATAACACCTAGAAGCCAATCTCAGCCCCTTTAATTTTAAAATATCATCAAGAGGAAGCAAAGAGAAAAAAAACCTCCATAAAAAGAAGGAAATAGAAGGGGACATATAACCATGCCAAAGCAAATGATCCCATTTCCATTTTTTGAAGCTATGCAGATTATAATAAAGCATTTCAGAAATGGATGCATTAGTATTCAATTTCCAGATAAACTTATCAGGCTTATCAGGGCATAAGGGGATTTTAGTAATAGGATCAGCATTTTCACCCAACAGCTCCCTTAATTTGCTCATGTCCCAATGACCATTAATCCAGCAATCAAAGACCAACATGTCACTTAACAAATTTGAATCCCCATCATGAAGATTAGAAATCCCCCATTGTTCATGCCAAAAGGATACATTTCCCTTGCCAATGTCCCAAAAAATAAAATGATTAGCCACAGTTCTAGCCTTTATAATGGCTTTCCAGTTTTTAGAGTACCCAACTTTCCATTTAACCGAGGATGGGTGATGGTGAGAGCAGTACTTATGATACAAAAATTAAGCCCAAAGGGAATAGCCACGTCTAAATTTAAACCACAACTTACACATATCAAGAATGAGTTGCAAATTATTGAAACCCAAACCTCCCGAGAGAAGAGGCTTGCACACTTTATGCCAGTTTGTCCAGATTTCAGAGGTGCCCTCACCAAACCAAAGAAATTTATTAAAAATGTGCTCCAGGTCTTTCTGTGTACTCTTTTTCATAGAGAGAACTTGCATAGTATATAGAGGAATAGAGTGAAGTGCACTTTGTAACAGAGTTAATCTCCCCCCAAAGGAGAGAAAGACATTCCTCCAATCATGAATTCTAGATTTATTTTTATCCACAACAACATCAAATTGTGTTTGTTTCCTTCTACCTCGAAGGAGGTTAACACCAAGATACATTAAATGAAGAGAAGCTTTAGAAAAAGCAGTATAAGAAGTGGCCCACGTGGTAATAAAAGAGATAATAGAATTCCCAAAACATAGATGACATTTAGTTTTGTTGAAAAGAAGACCAGAGTTTCGTTGAAAGGTATTAAGGTAGTTTAACAAGATTTTCAGTTAAGCCTTGGAAGCAATAGAAAAAATGATAGCATCATCAACATATGCTAAATAAATGACTAACACCTTTGATTTATGCTTGTATTGCACATGAGGATGTTTTTCATGCATGTTATTTATAAGGTGAGAGAAATAATCAAAAGCCATGATGAACATCGTAGGAGAAAGGGGGCCTCCTTGTTTGAAGCCTCTCTGAGCAGAAAAGAAGCCATATGACTTGTCATTAACTAAGACACTATAAAAGTTATTTTCCAACCAACATTTAATCAAAGTGTAGAAGTTAGTGTCAAAGCCTCTAGCTTCCAAAATGCTGAGAATAAAATCCCAATTAATTGTATCAAAAGCTTTTTTAGATCAAGCTTGAGAATCAAATTACCACCTCTACACTTCCTGTCAAGATCTTCCACCAATTCTTGTGCAAGGAGGATATTATCACAAATCTCTCTCCCATGAATAAAAGCTGATTGTTGGGGAGAGATGAGTCTAGAAAGATAAGGTTGAAGTCGAATGACTATCAACTTGCTGATAACTTTAGAGATAACTGAAGTAAGTGATATAGGTCTAAAATTAACCCAGCTTGTTTTTACATTAGTTTTTGGGATAAGCACAATTAAAGAAGAAGAGAAGAACTTCCCTGGGTTATTAAACCAAAAAATGCTTTGAATAACAACAGCTTTGAATAACAGCAAAGATCTTTTTATGGATTATATCCCAGCAGTGTATATAGAAGGAGGAAGTAAATCCATCAATGCCTGGAGCTTTATTAGCATTAATATCCTTAAAAATAATGAAGATTTCTTTTTCAGTAGGAATGTCAGCACGGGACAAGCCAACCACATAATCCTATCTTTGTCAAAAAAATCACTATTTAAAGGTGTGACCTGCTGTTTAGAAACAAACAAATCAATAAAATACTGAACAACATTATTACCAATCTCTCGTTCATCAATAATGAGGTCGTCATTAGGCTTTTTGATCTTCAAGATGGAACTAATATTTCTTCCATGTTTAATATAAGCATGAAAGTACTTGGTGTTACGATCGCCACTCTTGAAATATATATCATTTGCTTTTTGTTGTAGGAAATGTTCCTCCATGGTAATTGCATCAAGTAAAATGGAATGTTTATAAGCCACCTCATTAACCATTTGAGGATCAGAGACAACCATAGATTCAAGGGCATCAACCTCAGCTTGAGCTTCAAGAACTTTTATAAGAACATTGCCA